GAACCTCGGTTAGGGATAGTTATTTCCTATTTCGGGAAAGCTGACATCAATTCCTTTGGATATTTTTACTCTGTGGGGAGTGCACATACTAATAATTATGTTCCCAAGCATGACTCTATCCCGATACCTGCGGGACAAAGTGACTGTAGGGTTCGATACTTCTTATTTTCCCTGTTTCTGGAATTACGAGTAATTTCCTTTTGTTTCTTATGTAAATATTTATGAGCAGCAATCATTTTCAAATTCATATATCAAAAATAAATCATTGGACGTTCTTGCAAAACAAAATAAAAAAAGAAAAAGAAACAAACTGAAGTTTTGTAAAAATGACTTGTATTGATTTGGAAATTGGCCTGTAATAGGCATTTTGTACAAAGAGGCTGACGTTCTAGTAAGAGAACGCTGCCGAAAGAAATTACAATTTGTGCAAAAGAAAGAAAAATATCTATGTGAAACAACCCCCATTGGGTTCCAACTCTGCTATTGTCTTTATATCTTCAAGCGTCTCATCACTTTGTTACTTGGCTAAAGGTTGATCAGATTGATTGGCGCCGTCTGAGCTTGATAGCTGATACCGAAGTCTGGTCGCAAGATGATCCAATGAGACATAGTGATACGCTTTAATCCCTAACTTTTTCCTGGATTGCCCTTTCGGGTTTTCAATCCACCGGGATACCCTTTTTTGCCCAAGCCTCCCTTTCGGGTTTTCGACTTGCCGAGTGTACAGATTTTTTCATTTTCATCCCTAACTTTTACCTGAACCCTTTTGGTTCGCCGGGAAGCCCTTATTTTTGCCTAGGCCAGTCAACCTAGCGGGTCTTCGATTATGCGTAGTATCTTTTCACTATGTCTGCATTGATAGGGTAAGGAAGGTCGTCACCATCCATGTTGGTTAGAATCATGGCTCCTCCCGAGAAAATGTTCTTAACCACAAATGGCCCTTCGTATGTGGGAGTCCATTTGCCCCTGGGATCACCTTGCAGCAGTATGATGCGTTTGATCACCAGATCCCCGACTTGATATTCTTGACGCCTGACTTTCTTGTTAAAAACCTTGATCATTCGCTTTTGATACGTCTGACCATGACAAATAGCAGTAAGTCTCTTTTCATTGATCAGATTTAACTGATCAAGTCGGGTTTGGATCCAGTTGTCTTCGTTCAAACCTGCATCCTTCATAATCCTGAGAGAAGGTATCTGGACTTCTATGGGTAGGACTGCCTCCATGCCATATACCAGAGAGTAGGGTGTTAGCCCTGATGACAATATTTGGGACAAGAGAGAGTGCTAGAAAGATCAAGGTAAGGTATCTAATTATTGATGTTCCCTCATCGTATAATATGATCATAGGGAGGAATGCTTTTAGCCAATTAGGGGATCGTCATATCCACCTTGTATCTGTGTATGAAGTACCCACTCCCAAATGTGCGAGTAGGCATTATACAGGGAGATGAAAAGATCCCAAAAAAATGCTATGTGGAAAACTTAAAGTTAAAGAGGGTTAAAGTAGTAGACGCAAGCAATGTGAGCACGAAAGCAAGAATAAAACCATTAGAGAAAGCTTTTGTTAAGGAGATCCTCACCAATACCGAGGAAGAGATCGCCAAGTCTAAAGCATGGGCGAGCCCCATCCATTAGCTTAGTTTGTTTAATGTTTATTTGCTTAGGTGAGTTATCATATCAACCATGTTTGTAAAGATATTTTTGTTCTTCATGGGGGAACTCTTTTCCGACACTATTGTACTGACACTTGGTTTTTAACAAGCCCCCCTCTTTATTTATATGAATTTTGGATTGCAACTTGTTTACTTGTAGGATCTCAAAAAGGAAAAAGGTCAAGGTCGAGGTCGCCTCTTAAGGCTATTTAACATGTTTGGTCCTTATGTGGGAGTCCTTTCCACCTCTTAAGGCTATTTAACATGTTGGATCCTTACATGGGAGTCCTCGCTGCCTCTTATGGCTATTCATGTTGGATTCTTACGTGGGAGTCCTTGCTGCCTCTTAATACTATTTAATAAGTTGGATCCTTACGTGGGAGTCCTTACCACCTCTTAAGGTTATTTAACATGCTAGATCCTTACGTGAGAGTCCTCGTCGCCTCTTAAGGCTATTTAACATGATGAATCCTCACGTGGAAGTCCTTGCCACATCTTAAGGCTATTTAACATGTTGGATCCTTATTTGGGAGTCCTTTCTGCATTTTAAGGTTATTTAACATATTGGATCCTCACGTGGGAGTCCTTGTCACCATATAAGGCTATTAATATGTTGGACCCTCATGCGAAAGTCCTTGCCACTTGCCAATGCTATTAAACATGCTAAAACTCTATAAAGGGATCCTCGCAACAAAAGTCAAGACATATACTATCGCCATGGCATAACTTATGGTTCCTCAGGGTAGGGCGAGAGGTCCCATACAAAAAAAATCTTAACCATGAGTAAATTATAACAAAGGAATGAAAGCATGACACATAAAAAGTCCTTAAGACAATGTTTAATGGTACATAAAAAGCCCCTGGGCCAAATTTCCAGGGGCGCATTTTTAGAGATGCTAAAACAAAATAATAATAATAATAATAATAATAATAAAGGGAGGGGGAGTCTGCTAGTCATTAACCCACCTTAGGAGCCATGTTCCCTTCTGGAGCATCCCAAATGGAATTAATCACCACAGTGGCATCCCCATATGGCTTGTCGCCCTCAAGTTTAGCTTGAATATCTGGGACAGGAGATGAGGCTGATTGATAGATTACTGACACATCCCCCAACTTGCCATCATGAACTACCTTAAAAATGTACATGAGGACCAAGTCTAGGCCAGGGTGGAGGAAGGTTATCTACTCCTTAACCCTCTATAAGTAGATATCATAGGTCTGCACCAAAATTTCCTTCAAAACATAAACCTCATCCATTAATCTCTTCATAGCATTGAGGGCCTTTAATCTCTTCATGGGATTTGGAATCCTCCTCCCGAAGTTTTCCTAAAATTATCACTTTCTTTATTCGCAGTCTCAATTAGAGCGTGCCTTTTAGCTAGATCACCTTGATACTTGGTGAGTTTCACCTTCTACTCCTTATCTACCTTTGTGCGCTCCTCCCTATCAATTTTCTCCATGAGGAGGACCTTAGTAATTCACTCCATGGGGATATGCAAATTTCGCTCCATATAAATTTGTATATCCCTTTTTTTTCTTGTAGATTGGAACTAAAGTGTTTATTCTCCATTCATCCATTATTTGCATTGAACTCATAATTTTTTTTAAAGAGTTTGGTAAGATACTAAATGCTTCTATCTTTGAGAATTTTCCATATTTCAATAGGTATATTGTCTGGTCCAACCACCTTACTGTTACTTATCCTTTTCAATGTTTTTGTCTCTTCTTTCTAAATTCAACGACAATAATTATAGTTTTGACCCGATGAGATATCATATATTTCATTAAATAAATTATATAAATATGTCTTTCATCTATCCTATATATCCTTTTGCTGGATCAAGACTCTGTCTTCTTCATCTTTAACACACTTCACTTGATTCAAATCTCTTTCCTTTCTTTTTCTTCTCTTAGCAAGCCTATATATAGAATTTTCTACCTCCTTGATTCCTAAAGATAACTATTATTCGTCAAAGGCTTGGGTCATTTCTTCACTCACCACCTTATTAGTCTCTTTCTTATCTTTCTTATACTTTTCTCAAGTTTCAACATTTTTACACCAGACCATTCTTTAAAAAAATATCATTTTTACTCTAACTTTACTCTCAACACTATCATTTCACACAACGATTCTTTATCCCTAGGCCCAAATTCTTTTGATTCCCGCATCTTCTCTTTAGCTCATTTTCTAATATCTTAGGCCATCTTATTCCACATATCATCTGCACTTAGTTGTGGTTGTCCATTCCTTAAAGATATTGTGTTGGAAATTTCCTAGTTTTTCACCTTTCAAATGCCATCACTTGATCTGTGGAGCTCCTCATATGACTTCTTATATTCGCTCTCGTCTTGATTCTTATATTTATAACCAATACTCTATGTTAGGTAGTCAAACTCTCTCATGGTATAACTTTACAGTCCAAGCAAATATTCCTAATAAGAAAGAAATCTATTTGAGAACATGTCATCACACTCTTATATGTGATAAGATGCTCATCTATTTTCCTAAACCATGTATTAGCTATAATAAGATCAAAAATTGATGAAAACTCCAAGATGAATTTACCATTCGCATTTACTTCACCAGGACCATACCTCCCATGCGCACCCTCAAAACCTCTTGCTACACTCCATATATATGCATTTAAATCCCCTCATGGAAAAATCTGTTCTCCTTGAGATATAACCTAAAGTAAAGCTTCTAAATCCTCCCAAAATTTTATCTCAAGGTGTTTTGTAAATCCAATATGAGGTTCAGTGTCTTGTTCCACCACAAACTTTAAGACTATGATTCAATTTCCTACTATTTTTACATCCATAATATTCTTCTTCCACTCCTTGTTTACAATAATCTCTACTCTAATTTTTTGTTCTAACTTTTTCAGTATACCAAAGCTTAAATTATGAGTTGTCTAATTCTTTCGCCTTTTCATTCGTCCATTTAATTTCTTATAAGTACATGGTATTAACCTTCCTATATATTTTCTAATAAAGTGCCTACATTCCATAATCCAAAATAAATTTTACTTTCATGAACTATCTTATTTATCCACACCCTTTCACAAAAATGTAAAAATCTGTGATCCAAACAATTCAATAACCCTTCCACTTTTGACATTGCACTCAAAACATATACTGCATTGCTTTAACAACAACATAACATTCACATTAATAATTGTTCATATCATAGAAATTCAACAAAATCTTAATTAATTGTCGACCGCCTAATAAAACGTCTTCTTTTATCCGAGCATATAGTAAAGAAGAAAGATTTATTTTCTACTTAGAAGAATAAAAAGACGTAATATACTAGTATAGCTGTGGTGTGTGTAGCGAAGAAACAAAAATGAAGCTGAAAGTGTATGCGGACCGCATGTCCCAGCCATCCCGCGCGATTCTCATCTTTTGCAAGTATTTTAACTTTCCTTCTCTTTTCCCAATTTCAATCAATTTGTTCTACATATTCTCTAATTGAATTCGATACTGAAAAACTTGAAATCGATAGAATCAATGGAATAGAATTTGAAGAGATCCATATCGAACTTTCCAAACGCCAGCATCTATCTCCCGAATTTCAAGGTAATCAAATCCATATCTAACAACCGCATTTTCAATTGGAAACAGTTCACTTGATTTGATTTTGTTTCAGCGATTAACCCTCTCAAGAAAGTTCCTGTTATTGTTGATGGAAGGTACAAGCTATTCGAAAGGTAATTCAATTGTTCGATTCATTCTTCGATCCGTTACTGTAATACAAGTTTCATTTCACTTCAAAATTTTGCTGCTTATACTTCTGATTTTTGTATTTGTCTTGATTTAGCTTAACAAATTATTCTGTTAAGTTTAGTTAAGTGATTATAATCTATTATAAGGAGCTTATTGAAATAAGCAAAAATAAAATAAAATTTATGGATACCTCACTTGATATTTCTTTTAAGTATTTAGAAGCACCTAAGGTCTGTTTGGATCGGCTTATTTGAGTTTATCTTATGCCATAAGTTCTTAACGATAACTTGTGAAAACAATTTATATCACATGTATAAATAATTAAATTTATTTTATTTTTTGTTAGAAAAATAGCTTATGCAAGCTTTTTCTTAAGTGTTTATCCAAACAGGCTAATATAAGTGTTTATCTTATCAATAAAGAAAAATAAACTTTATATAAGTTATTCCAAATACTTCATATAATTTTAATCTGCTATTATAATTAGTTTGATGCTACAGTTTATGTGTTATTTTCTTCTTTGCAGTCATGCAATTCTTATCTATATTGCTTCTGCATTTCCTGGAGTTGCAAACCATTGGTTAGTAGTTTACCTCTTTTGCTAACTTTTTATGAATTCAAGACATGTACCCAAGAGAAAGTTATTGCAGAAGACTAACTTTATTGCTAATAATTTTGGAGAATGATTCAAAATCAGAATATTACACATTACACCAATTATAGGAAATTATGTAAAACAATAGGACAAAAACACCAAGATTAGAGCTTAGCCTCTCCCATTCCCAAATGTTCAGAGAGTTGGGACTCTCTCCCACTAACAACTCAATAATTCTTCCGATGAACTCCCTTTGTTCAGTGTCTCTCCCTTTTATAATTATACACCACCTAGAACTAAGTAGACAATAATATTAACATAATCAATTACTGCTCACAGCACTAACACCCCTTAACTATTGGTCACTATCCTATAAGTAACTGCCTCATAATTGATAGTAATTTTCCCATATCTGATATAATTGTTTTGCTCTTTCATCTTATACACATTTTGAATAAGAGGTCTAACAATACTCACCTTGTCCTCAAGGTAAAGTAGAGGGACAGAGTACGAAACATGATAGGTAATGTCTGGATCATACACTGTTTTGACTTTTGAGTGGTATGTTGACCCAAAAACATAGCATGACAGCAATAGGCATTAAAACTGAACATAATCCACCCTTCACCAAGGACACGTTTCGGGACAGTGTTAGGAAACTACGCAAAATTTTCCCATGGTTAGATTCGTAGAAAGCGGTATAAAATGTGAAATAATAACAATACAAGTTAATATAGCAACTGTAAACTTTATTTATGAAAGATAAAATACACAATGAAAAGACTCTTAATGTTGGAATATTTATTGTTTATGCATTTGTCTTAATTTATTACAAGTAAAGCAAAACAACGTAGCACTGCATGTTTTTCTCCAAAGCATCAGTTTTATTTCTTATAATAACTTCTTCATTAATAACTGGTGGTGTTTAAGATTTTCATGACTTTTTCAACAATCTCCCACTTGAAGATTGACTTTAGTAGGTCTTCACACCTCGATCATGCGACAACCTTCTCTGGTATGTTATTATAGCAGGCCAACTGAAGTTGAGCACAACTTCAGTTTATCAGTAGTCACCACCTTTGTCAACATATCTGTTGGGTTCTTACTTCCGAGAATTTTCCTCAACGTTAGTACCTCATCTTCAAGCAGAGATCTGATGAAGTAATAACGGAGATCAATGTGCTTCGTTCTGGAGCGGAATGCTGAATTCTTAGCCATATGTATTGCACTCTGACTGTCGCTGTGCAAAACACTCCTCTCTTGGATGAATCCCAACTCTGTCAACAATCCTTGAAGTCATATCAACTCTTTGCTAGCTTCTGTTACTGCTACATACTCCGCCTCTGTAGTGGATAGAGCAACGATCTTTTGTATCCGTGACATCCAACTAACGGCTGTAGTACCAACTGTAAATATGTAACCGGCGGTACTTCTTCGGTGATCAACTTCACCAGCAAAGTCCGCATCTATATAGTCCTGTACTTTTAATTCACCTTTACTAAAGCATAAACACTTCTCCTTAGTGCCTCGTAGATACCTCAAAATCCATTTCACAGCTTCCCAATGAGCTTTATCTGGATTTGACATAAACCTGCTTACAACTCCCACTGCATGGCCAATGTATGGTCTCGTGCATACCATTGCGTACATCAAACTTCCAATGGCTGAAGCATACGAAATACTAGCCATCAATTCTTTTTCTTCCTCCGTCTTCGGGGTCTGGTCCTTTGATAAGCGAAAATGACTAGCTAAAGGTGTGCTAACTGGTTTGGCATTGTCCATGTTGAATCTTTTCAAAGCACGGTTGATGTACTCTTCTTGAGATAATTGCAAAATTCCTCTTTGCATATCTCTCGTGATTTGCATTCCAAGAATCTTCTTTGCTGGACCCAAGTCCTTCATGTCAAATTCTTTTGACAATTGTATCTTCACGTTTCTAATTTCATCCATATCTGGACCTGCTACTAACATATCGTCGACATAAAGTAGTAAGATGATATAACTGGAATGATACCTCTTGAAGAAACAACAGTGATCTGCATTGCACTTCTGGAAACCTTCCTTGTGCATGAAGCTTTCAAACTTCCTATACCACTGTCTTGAAGCTTGTTTTAGACCATACAAGCTCTTTTTTAATCTGCACACCATTTTCTGTTTCCCTTCTTCTGAGAAACCTTCTGGTTGATGCATGTAGATCTCCTCATCTAAGTCTCCGTGAAGAAAGGCGGTCTTCGCATCCAATTGCTCTAGGTAGAGCTCTTCACTGGCAACAATACTTAACACAGACCTGATAGTATTGAGCTTCACAACTGGAGCAAAGATTTCAGTGTAGTCAACTCCTTTTTGCTTAAATCCTTTGACAACTAATTGGGCCTTGTATCTCTTAGATCCATCATGGTCCTCCTTGACCCGATACACCCATTTGTTATGAAGTGCCCTTTTTCCCATAGGTAACTCAACAAGTTCCCATGTCTGATTGGAGATCAAAGACTTCATCTCGTCTTTCATAGCAAGTTCCCACTTGCTAGCATCTGCGGTCTGACATGCTTCTGCATAATCTTCATGTTCCCCTTCATCTGTCAATAACATATAGTCCATGTATCTCCTGTTAGGAACACGAGTTCTAGAAGACCTTCTCAATACAGGAGTTGGAGTCGGAGGTTCTGATATGCCAGGCTGTTGCTCACTGCTTTGTTCAGTTGTTTCCTCTAGCTGAGGGTTATCAACTATAGGACTTTCTGGGACATCGTCCACTTCTGCATAAACTGGCCCACTCAAATCTGAGTTGCTGGCACCTATATTCTGTTTGTCCTTGTGCATAACTCTTTCATTGAAGATCACATCTCTACTGCGAATCATCCTTTTGTTTTCATCATCCCATAGGCGATAGCCAAACTCATCCTCACCATAACCGAGGAAAGTGCACTTCCTTGATTTGGGATCAAGCTTATTCCTGCCATGATTACTAATGTGCACATATGCTACACAACCAAAAACTCTAAGATGTGAGAGTTTTACCTCTTTTCCGCTCCATACCTCTTCTGGTATTCTCTGCTCTAATGGTACTGATGGACCTCGGTTGATTAAGTAAGCTGCTGTATTGATTGCTTCTGCCAAGAATTGCTTTGGTAGGCCTGATCGAACACGCAAGCTTCTAGCTCTTTCTGTCAACGTCCGGTTCATACGCTCAGCTACACCATTGTGTTGAGGCGTACCTGGCACAGTCCTCTCAATTCTGATCCCGTGCTCATAGCAGAACTTCTTGAATCTGGTGTCTTCGTACTCACCACCATTGTCGGTTCGGAGCTTTTTGATCTTCAATCCGGTCTCATTTTCTACCATGGCTTTCCACACCTTGAAAGCCTTGAATACGTCAGACTTATATTTCAAAAAGTATACCCATACCTTTCTAGAATGATCATCAATAAAAGTCACAAAGTATTTCTTCCCACCAATAGATGAGACGGTAGTTGGACCCCAAACATCAGAGTGGACAAGATCGAGTTTCTCCTTCTTTAGGGTTCTCCTACTTATCTGAAAGCTAACTCTCTTCTGCTTTCCAAGTATACAATCTTCACACATGTCAATTTCTATTGACTGAAGACATGGTAGTTTTCCATTTAAGTACATGACCTTCATTCCTTTCTCACTCATATGGCCTAGTCTTTGGTGCCATAGATTGGGACTTTCATTTACTGCAATCAAATCAAATGCTCCAGCTGTCTTGTAAAGAGTACCACTCTTTTTACCGCGAGCAACTATCATTGCACCTTTAGAAATCTTCCAATGTTCTCCATCGAAGATTGTTGTGTAGCCATCACTAGCCAACTGGCCTACTGAGATTAAGTTCTTCGTCAGGTCAGGAATGTGTCTGACATTCTTCAGCTCCCAAATAGACCCGTTCAACTTAATCTTCACTAAACCTTTTCCCACAATCTCACAAGATTGTTCATTACCAAGGTATACTTTACCGAGGTTCCCGGGGACATAATTTTCGAAGAACTGTTTCTGTGAAGTTGCGTGAAAGGATGCTCCAGAGTCTAACACCCAAGACTCTTCCTTGCTCTCTAAAGAACATATCAATGCATCACCTCCTCCTGAGGTTGAAGCAATGTTTGCCTCATCTTTCGCCTCCTGATTCTTCAATGCACTCCTGCACTGATTTTTGTAGTGTCCGGTCTTCCCGCAATTCCAACACTCGATAGTCTTCGAGCTGTTAGAAGTATGATGATTTCTGGCCTTTGATCGTCTCACTTTTGATTTGCCTCGTCCGCTTCCTCTGGTTGAACTTCTTCCTCTTGACTCTGTATGCAATACTGAAGAGGTTGACGATTCATCCGACTCTCTCCGCTGGATCTCTTCACTGAGAACCAAATCACGAACATCATCAAATTTCAACTTGTTGCTTCTCGATGAGCTACTCACGGCTGTGACTGTAGCATTCTAACTTTCTGGCAGGGAAGACAAGAGTATCAAAGCCCGTACTTCTTCATCAAAGTCGATTCCAACTGAACTCAATTGGGTTGTAACAATGTTGAGTTCGTTCAGATGTTGCGCTGTTGACGCACCTTCTGTCATCCGTAAGTTGAACAATCGCCTCATCAAATGAACTTTGTTTGAGGCCGACAACTTTTCGTACATACTGGAAAGAGCCTTCATAAGATCAACCGTTGTCTTTTCTTTTGCAATGTTGAAAGCAACATTACGGGATAACGTCAATCGAATGACTCCAAGAGCTTTTCTATCGAGAAGGGTCCAGGAACTGTCGTCCATTGTCGTTGGTTTCGTGCCCGTGAGAGGTTCATGCATTCCCTTTTGATACAAATAATCTTCTATTTGCATCTTCCAAAAGCTGAAGTCCGCACCGTCGAACTTCTCAATTTTCACCTTTCCTTTGTCTGCTGCCATCGCTCCCACTCAAGTCTGACTCCTCTGGATCGCTTATGAAACGGAAAGAATCAATCGGCTTTGATACCAGTTGTTAGGAAACTACGCAAAATTTCCCCATGGTCAGATTCGTAGAAAGCGGTATAAAATGTGAAATAATAACAATACAAGTTGATATAGCAACTGCAGACTTTATTTATGAAAGATAAAGTACACAATGAAAAGACTCTTAATGTTAGAATATTTATTGTTTATGCATTTGCCTTAATTTATAGCAAGTAAAGCAAAACAACATAGCACTCTGCATGCTTTTCTCCAAAGCATCAGTTTTATTTTTTATAATAACTTCTTCATTAATAACTGGTGGTATTTAAGATTTTCATGACTTTTTCAACCGACAGTTCGGTCCTCGATTCAAACACCATACACGCACCATGTCCATCAAAGTCTCTGTTAATACTAAGCAATTTGCAAAAATCTCCTTTTGTCTCTTGTTGCTTTTCCACAATGACACTCACCGGGGAATTTTTGGCATTATCTACTTTTGCGATTTCTACATTTTACTCATTTCTCTCTTCCATTATTTGAATGCGAGCGGAATTTCCTTGGTTTGTTTCTTCTTGTTGAGGGTTGAATGTTTGAGGCATCGACGACTCCATTTCCAATTCAATTTTTTCTTCTTCATCAGGTATAGGTAGGAGGTCTCTATATTCTGGCTTAAAATGCTAAAGTAGTGTAACATGAAACGTTTGCCAACTCGCTTGTAGATGACATTGATTCCACCACCGCCACCATATGTGAGCACGGTTTCTCAAGGCTTTCACCGCCTCCGGCAACTTCTCACTCTCCAGTGTTCCAACATCAAAATGCTTATTACTACAAATCAACCACCAATAGGCATCACTGCTGTCGTCAAACTGCGACATGTCCATTTCCCCCTACTGTGAATTTCTCGCCCTGAATCGCAACTACCCTGATACCCAATGATAGAAACTGGTACCAATTAGAGAAATATAATAGAGTAAATGAAATATAATAGAAATAATTTACTGTTATTGATGATAGAATATGTAATTCAATAGAAAGGCACACAATACTCACAGTCTTGACATAAATAGCATAAAACATAAAGGATTCCTATCCAAGAATTTCGAGAGTCTTGGTCTCCCCTGCTCTAAGAATTCGAGAGCTTGGCCTCTCCCTTTCCAAATAACCTCTTCTAAATTTCCAGATGATCCTTCTAACCTACGGTTTCCTCATTTTATTCACACACTCCAAATAACTACTCAATTACTGCTACTAATTACTAAATGTTAATATTAAAAACAGTAACTGCTAATAAAAAAGTATCTGCCTGATAGAATAGAACAACCGTATTCATATGTTTGGTTCCTAGTAATTCTTAAGGTCTAATGATACTCCCCCAAAGGATCTACCTTGTCCTCAAGGCAACACTGAAGAAAAACACAAGTGTCCACCAGGTTGAAGTAGAGTGATAGCGCTAGGCGCGTGAAACATGATAACTCATGTCTGGGTCATACACTCTGTTTTGAGTGGTATGTTTGACCCAAAAACGTAACATGATAGCAATAGGCATTAACAAATAACAATGCCGGCTCGATCAAACCAGAGGAAAATCCATCCTTCACCAAGGACCTGTCAGGATCTGGTGGTTTCAGTAGCTGTGGCGGTAGGTTGTCCAAGTTGAGTAAAGCTCATCTCTCTATCGTAGTTGTTCTAGCCAGTCTCACCCTCGATTCGAACACAATACTCAAGCCATGTTCATCAAAGTGTTTGTTGATACCAAGAAATTTGCAAGAATCTGCCTTTGTCCCTTGTCTCTTTTCCACAATGACTTTCACATGGAAATTTTCTGCATCTCTTTCTACTTTTGCATTTTCTTGGTTAGTGGAGTTTTCTGGATACTAATGTTAGTTAATTAATTTATATGGGCATCCTACAATAAGATTCACTTTCACTCAATAGTCACTAAAAGGGAAGACATGCATCCTCCTGTAGGTTTTGCCTTTGTGTATGTTAGCCATTACATTCTGCAGGGAAGTTTTTGCTATGTTGTCCCCTTGTTCATTGCAGACATACACTTCTGTTCTCCTATTTTTGAATTTTTTTTGTTCTATTCATTCCATTAGGTACCCAGCTGATGCTTCGAGGAAAGCTAAAATCCACTCAGTGTTAGATTGGCATCACCTGAATTTGCGCCGCGGAGCAGGTGTGTTATAGCACAAAAATAACCCTTTTGTTTATTTGTTTTCAGTAATCAATTTTCACAGTGGTCTCCTTTCAGTAATTTAAATGTAAGAGGAGATTAAATGTAGGGATCAATTTCTAGTTTTGCTTGCTTGCTGGTCCTGGATATCTTTGTATTCTGGGGCTTTTTTTATATAGGGATCAATTTCATAATGTGGACCTATATATTAGGGATCAATTTCTATAATGTGGACATATATATTAGGGATCAATTTCTATTCGGATCAACTTCAAGTTTAATCTTTTCATTTTCAAAGTAGTAAAGTTCAATCAAGCTACTAGAAATCACGGTTACACTTCATATAATATGTTCACAGTAATATGACACTGACGGCATATTGTTAGTTGAGTCTTTCTTTCAGCACATTGATGACTATAAATCTGGCAATGCCATGTATTTTTAGGTTAAGTTACATTTTTTTTGCATGTACATTTGAATTACATTCTTTGCATTAATTTCTGATTAATATTTTCTTTGTTTCCTTTATGTACAATTTTTCTTCTGCTTCCTCTCTTTTCATGACCCAGTCTACCTGTTTTTGCTCTAGCCGGATATGTTCTAAATACTGTATTAGCTCCATTATTGGGTTTACCACTAAACGCACAAGCAGCTGCTGAAGCCGAGAAAGTTTTGGCATCATCTCTGTCCACAATAGAGAATATTTGGCTTAAGGGTGACGGACCGTTCTTGCTTGGCAGCTTTCGACCTTCCATAGCAGATCTCAGTCTTGTCTGTGAAATTATGCAATTACAGGTAAAATGGAGACTGGGGAGTTCCTATATACCAATGCCATGACTCATTAAGGAACTTTTTATTGAGATTTTTCTTTGAATTCTAAGAAAATAAGTTGTAAAGGTCTTTCTTGTTCATTTTGCATTGTATGGTTGAAAAATCGAGAAACATAGAGGGGAAGTCTGGCAAGTCGTCTATTTGAGTCTGGTTTGGCTAAAGAGAGGAAATATTTCCTACAATTAATGTTGACCTGATTAAGCTCTGTTTATCTAGAATTGTGACATGCAGAACATAATGCTGATAATATGGTGATAATTACATAATTTTTGTATGCAGCTTTTAGACGAGAAGGATCATGATCGTATTATTGGCCCATACAAGAAAGTTCAACAGTGGATTGAGAGCACAAAAAATGCAACGAAGCCACATTTTGATGAAGTTCACAATGTCCTCTATAAGCTCAAAGCGAGGCTTTCAGTGCGGCAATCTAGTAAAGCAGATGGCCAAATTAAATCTGGGATTAAAGCTCCCATAGTTTCCAAGATGTGACCTATCAACCATGAGCGTAACACACATGTGAGAGACTTGTGTGACCAATTAGCCATGTTTAACATTATATTCATTGTGGGTTGTAATTGTGGCTTGAATCTTGGAAGATAGTGTTTCTGTCTCTGTATTACTGAGATTGCTAAGCTTAGCAGATAATAAATTTCAATCGATTCAAAGATTCATGAATCAAATCGTAAGTGCAGAATTGGCATCAACATATGTTAGTTTGTCTGTTCTTTAAGTTTGTCGTGCAAAATAATTCAGAGGAGCTGGTAAATTGCTGTAGTATTTAGCCATCAAGAAATGACAATATAAATTTGTATGCACAGACTTGTTTGGTGGATGATAAGTATACCAACATAATCGATTTGTTTTAAAACAAGTATTATCCAGATTTTTAAAATAAAATTAATTGTGTTGGAAAATAGTTTTATGCACAAATTAATCAAATAAGCTCTTCGATTTGACTTTTAAAAAACAGGTTTTAAGGAAGGAATCAAACAAGCTCTATATTTAAGGGTGTGATTGAAAAGTGAAAAAAAATGATTTCTTCCCTTTTTTTTTTCTAAAAAAATGAGTAGATTAGAAACACGCTGGTCTCATGTGATTTTTTTTATCATTCTACCTCATTTCTCTTCTCTTCAAGTCAGAGAAGTTCTCTACTTCTCTCTTCAACTCGTCTCTCTTCTCTTTCACCTTAAACAAATTACAAGTAGTTTGTCTCTGCTATAGTCAGTCATACACTATTTGATTATAGGACACACCAACTTATCAGATGCGGATATACTACTCTTAAGACGGGAAAGACACAATGTCTTTGTGCCTATTTGAATTCATTATTTAAAAATATTTCTCAGTAGGGACCTACTGTGATCTCTTTATGTTATTATTCACAATTCCATTGATTTTCACCCCCTGAACTTATCACTTATCCATGACAGAAAGTGATAGAAATAAAACGAAAGCTCCCAAACAGAACGAGAAATCGGAGGTGAAGAGGTTGAGTTGAAAGTTGAAAGTGTGATGGAGAAGCTGAAGGTGTATGCAGATCGTATGTCCCAACCATCTCGAGCAGTTCTTATATTCTGCAGGTAATTCACTCAACAACTGATTATTAGTATATTTTATTTATGATTTTATCACCATATATGGATCAAACATCTTCATCTGGATTGGATTTTGAAAAGGTTGAATGGTATCGACTTTGAGGAGATCAAAATCGACATTTCCAAACGTCACCATCTATCTCCTGAATTCACAGGTACAACGCAATACAACAAACACACATGTGCTGCAACTTAATTAATTCTGCTAATCACTTTGTAATTTATTTCCTTTCAGATGTAAATCCTCTGCAGAAAGTTCCAGCTATTGTTCATGGAAACTTTAATCTCTTCGAGAGGTATAACTAACTACTTTGTTTTTTAACAGTCTCATCAGATTTTGAATTTCCTTGTTAACATGTTTATTGCTGGGTTTTAATGTATGTTATTAATTAATCACACTTTCTTTCTGCAGTCATGCAATCCTTGTCTATCTTGCTTCTGCTTTTCCTAGAATTGCTGATCATTGGTTAGTCCATCCACTTCTTTTGCTTCTCTAGAATCCCAAACTGTAAAACCAAAGGTAGACTAAGGCTCTGCTTGGGAGGGAGATTTTTAAGGGTTAGATCTATATTTTAATATGGTTGAAATTAGGATGAATCAAAACCAAGATAAATAACTGAAGAATTGTATTCATTCTGAATCCAACTAGGTTCTGCAAGGACAAGCATTTTCCGCAATCTGAATTAGAACTAGTTTCCATACATTATGGATAAAAGGGCTTATAATTATTACTTACTTGTTTCAAAGCCTTTCCTTGTGGATGTTTCAGGTATCCAACTGATGTTTTGAGGAGAGCCAAAATTAACTCAGTATTGGATTGGCATCACTCTAATTTACGATATGGAGCAGGTGCTTTACACATCTAAATTCAAAAATCTGCTGTCTCCTTTAAGTAATGTGATTTTCTTTGACTAGTTGAAGCTGAGCTTGTTCTACGTTTATGGAAACTTGTGAGATAGATAGGGATTATAACGTGTGACAGTTGCTCATAGGATTATAACTTCTGCGTACTTGCCATAAGCGTTTAAGTCTGTTCTGTGGATTCTTGAGCTAGTTAAGTGAAGGTTGGCGATATCTTCAATACTTATTTGGATCAAACTGGGATTTAATAATTGCTTACTTGCAATTCCCTTTTGCAGTGAATTATGTAACAAATACGGTATTAGGACCTGCACTTGGCCGTCCACTGAATCCAAAAGCAGCTGCAGAAGCGGAGAAAGTTTTATCATCTTCTTTATCAAAACTAGAGGACATTTGGCTCAATGGAGATAGACTGTTCCTTCTTGGTGGCTTTCAACCGTCTATAGCAGATCTCAGCCTGGTTTGTGAACTCACACAACTTGAGGTAACTAAATATGACTCTAACTGTTGATGTTATCAAAGCTGCATCAAACCAAATTACCTCAGTATCTTGAAATCTCTCTTGATTTATCATAAACTTGTGAATTTTTTGATTAAAATGTAAACAAATGTAGCTTTTGGATGAGAAGGACCGTGATAGAATATTATTCCCATACAAGAAAGTTCTTCGGTGGATTGAGGATACAAGAACTGCAACAAATCCCCACTTTGAACAAGTGCATGATATCCTTTATAGAGCCAAAAAGAAATTCCAGCAGCAGCGTTCAAGGGTAGCTAAAACTGGGACTGATAACAGTAGCAAGATGGGAACGCATTCTAAAATGTGAAAACCACGCCTTCACTGTTTTTTTGAGACTGATGTATCATAGCCTAAGAGGATTTTGTCAGTGGACATGTACTAGAAATTATGGTATTCATAACAGTTGTTAGAAGATATGTAAAAATCTTATGATATCAGACTAGTTTCATATAACTACTATAACAGTATTTTGTAATATAAAATGCTCTTTCTAAAATTGAGTGGTTTCTAGTTTCCGAAAAGACAATGAAAATCAGTATAAAGTTAGTATTGATCAGTAATAAGCACCACGCCTTCTCATAATTTCCCAAAAAAAATGACAGCAACTGGCTCAAACGAAGCATGGTTACAACCTTCTATGTCATTATTAGATTCTGCCATACACACACATTTAATATATACTGTGTAGCAGGCAACAAAAAGCTTTATACTTTACTCTGTTAAACTAAGTAGTTGTTTTCTCTTACAAACCAAATTTTAGATGAATTAAATATTGATAAATAGTTGATTATTTGAATAACATACCATACTTTAACCTTTAAAAGAACAAAGAAAGAGATTTATAGTTCATGCACTCAATTGATCTCAAAAGATTTAACATTATTGCTCCATGTATATTATAGAAATTTTGTATCTATGACATATTAACAAATTGGACACACTCTCACCAAAATATAGACAAATAGAATTGAGATAATGAGATTATCTTATAAAATCAGAAAAGAAAATATACAAAAAAAAAAATAAGTATCTTTTTTATATACTTAAATTTTCATTACAAATCTCTAATTCTATTCACTAAGCTCTAATTTCTAATCCAGTCCTGCATGCTTGGGAGCTTCATCATATTTGAAATAAGTCTTGATCATTTTGTTGAACACATGGCACGTCAACAAATTATCCGATGCAGCTTAATGAGTTTTTCCAACCGCCCAACACACGTTAAGTGTTGTTGCTACATGCTCGAGACCTCCATATAAAGTGTCGCAGGATTTCATCATGTGCTTCATATCATAAACACTTTTTCTAAATAATACTTCGACTACGTTTAAAAAATCCTCTAACTTATTGGGTAAATGTCTTAGATGAGCTTAAGATCATCAACATTGGCTTTCAAGTTACGGTAGTGATTAGTGTTATAATGAAGCAGACTTCGATTGTTTGTTTTGAGAAAGAGGCAAACTTTTTTTATTGTTGTTGTTAAATAAAATACACTCTTGGTCTTTATATAGACCCAATGACTTTTACAATTCAAGAAAAGATAACTGCTACTAATAAAAACTATCATAACCTACTGATTTTTGACCTTTCAAATTACATTTGGTTCTTAATCTTCCTACTACCTTATTTAATTATGAAAATTTATTACTAATGACATTAAAGTTTACTCAACAAAACTCCTCTGTAAACTTAAATGTTTCTTCCATCCAGAATTCCTATCATCTTCTTGCCTCTGTCGAAGATCTCTTTTGATAGTGATTTTGTGAAAATATCCACTGCTTGGTTCTTGCTTGCTACATGCCTCAATTCGACACTTCCTTCCATCACATGTTCACGAATGAAGTGGAATCGAACATCAATATGTTTGCTTCGTTCATGATTCACTTGATTCTTTGCCAATTCGATAGCTGATTTATTGTCCACTTGTATTATTGTTGGACCTTCCTATTTTATCTCCATCTTGCTTATCAACCTTCTGAGCCATACTGCATGACAGACGCACCAGGATGCTGCCACATATTCAGCTTCACACGTTGAAAGTGTTACTATAGGTTGCTTCTTCGATAGCCAAGTAAATGTTGTGTTTGCCATGAAGAACACATATTCAGAAGTGCTCTTTCGATCGTCTATGTCTCTGCACCAGTCACTGTTAGAATAACCAACTAACTTGTAGTCTTCTGTTTTTGAATAAAACATTTCAAGTGATATTGTTCCTTGGATGTACCTTAGAATTCGTTTCAGTGTCTTCCAATATGTGTGTACTGGCTCCTCCATGAATCGACTTACAACGCCAACACTTAGTGAAATGTCTGGCCTTGTGCATGTGAGATATCGAAGGCTACCTACCAAGCTTCGATATTTGCTTCCTTCAACTCGTTCTCCTCCATCAAACTTTGACAGTTTTGCACATGGTTCCATTGGCGTCGAAGTTGGTTTACAATTCTTCATCTTATATTTTTCTAGGATTTCCTTTGCATATTTTTCTTGTGAGATAAAGATTCCAGTTTCTTCTTGTCGAACCTCCAGACCAAGAAAGAATCTCATCAGACCTAAGTCTGTCATTTCAAATTCGCTTGTCATGGTGCTCTTGGAATCTTCTATCATCTGAACATCACTGCCTAGAAAAATAAGATCATCAACATAGAGAGCAACAAGTAATACATTACTTCTATTTTTCTTCACATAGAGAGCAGGTTCATAAGGACATTGCTCGAACTCATTCTCCTTGAAATATGTGTCAATGCGTGTGTTCCATTCCCTAGGTGCTTGCTTCAGCCCATACAACACTTTCTTCAATTTCAACACCTTCTTCTCTTCTCTAATTCTCATATACCCAAGTGCTTGTTCGACATAGATTTCTTCTTCGAGCACACCATTCAAAAATGTTGTCTTGACATCCATTTGAAATATTGGCCATTTGAATTGAGCAGCTTGAGAAATGAGTAATTGAATTGTCTCCATTCTTGCAACAGGCGCAAACACTTCGTCATAGTCAATTCCTTCTTTCTATTTGTATCCCTTCGCAATCAGTCGTGCTTTGAATATTTCGATTTCTCGTTGAGCATTCATCTTTTTCTTGAATACCCACTGTTGTACCCCAAAATTTGCCCTCCCATTTCCTCAAGACATTTAAAGATCAAGATACAATTAGGGTTTCCTCTGCTCAAGACTTCTCCTTGCACTGTGGACTCAAATTAGGGTTTGTGTTTGCCTAAAGATGCTTTGACCTAAAATGCCTAAGATGACTTTCATGCTTCATGTTGGACTCCCAAGTTTACCTATACCAAGTTTCAAGTCTTGATTCCAAGTTTTACCCAGTCAATTGGACAGTTGACCTAGAAATCAGCTGTATTGGGGGAAAAGTCAACTATGGCCAATTGACAGTCAAACCTCATGAAATTTGATCCACATCAACATTATGAACTCACATGGACCATTTGATCAAGTTTGGATCACAATTCCACAAGAAATTTGATCAGATCATCAAAAGGGCAAAATGGTCATTTTTAGGGTTTTGACTGCACAAGGGCAATTTTTGACTGTTTGACCTAGCCAATGGCAAACCAAGCTCACATATGGACTCAAAGACCCCATGGAATTATCTTGACATGTTCATCAAGCTCAAAAGATCCCAAGTACACAAGATTGACAGTTGAATTTCCCAGTCAATTGATCAATTTTGACTGTATACTGAAAAGTCAAACTTTGACTTTTTGGTCAAAATCAAGAGTCAAGATTCATTTTTCATCAAAACATGCCAAATCATGAAACTTGTTCACCAAGAAATCACAAAATGCAAATTAGGGTTGAAAATGGAATTTTTCATAACTTAGAATTTTTCTAAGTTATGAAAAACCCTAATTTTTTCCCAACTTTGCCCCATCTTTTCACCATGATCCATTTGGATTCAAACAAAAGTCAAAACATGAAAGTTGTAGCTTGTTGCATAATCTACAACTTTGATTCACAAAGTTTTCTCATTTGAAGCTTGTATCTCAAGTTATGATTTTTTGAATAAGGGCACTAAACCATCTTTTAACTTAGTGAAATTTGACCTATTTTGACAAGGTTTTCTACCCTACTTCAAGGCCACTTTTCATACCCTTCCACTTGGAATTTCAAATTTCATTTCAAAGATGGATTGTAGTACACATTCCAAGCTTTCCAAAATGTCCAAGAACTCATCAAACAACCTCATAACTTGAGAGATTCGAATTTCACAAGTTGGCAAAAATTCACTTTTTGTTCTTCATCAAAGCATGTTCATAAACTTGGCAAATTTGAATTCAGCATGCTTAAGCTACATTGCAGGCCTCTAATCCCATTTTCACTCAATAATTCAATGCATATCCTTTGTGCTCTAGCATTATCTTGCTCATTTGGACAATACACACAAAATCAAGCCTAAACTAGAAAAAGCATATTATCCATTCTTGTAAAGTGCTACTTTATGGCAACTTTGCAAATCTATGAGGTACAATGCAGATCTTTGAGGCAAAAAGGCATGGACATTTCCCACTGATCAAGACTCAAATGTGCAGCATAGATTGAGGCATTGTACTGGCCTAGAAACCAAGTTGACATTTGCTTGCTTCACTTAGAAGTAACATCCATAACTTATGCCATCTCTCATACCAGCATACAAAGACAAGAACAAAGTTGTCAAACACATTACACATAACATATCCAAGCTAACACACGGGCTCTTGACCTCCAAAACACCCTCCATCTCAGAATCATCCTCAAACTGCACAAACAGGGGTGCCCCTGCAGTTTGAGTGCAATCTCTCAAACCCTTCAAGCATTTTGATCAAAACCTGTTCCTCTACCTTCCTTACAACCTATGCAAGCTATCCAGAAGCTTAGGCACGATCTGTAGTTGCTCTAACCACTTCCACCATTTTCACATCCTTGACTTGCAGGTGAAGTTCTACAGCTTGATACAAGAAGGTTCAAGACAAAGTAAGCATTGAAAAAGCATCCCTGGACCTCAAGGAAGCTTTTCCAATCATTACATTGCACTGAAAGTCTCTCATTCTCCACATAGAAGTTCAACTGCACAGGTAAAAGTTTGAATTCGTATCTCTCTTATTAGGCATCTTTAGTCTTAAGTTTGTGAAGAAACAAAGTCCTACTCATAGCCCTGAACATGTACATAGCTTTACTTTTCATTTCTTTTGCCTGAGTAGAGAGAATTTGAGCTCTGAAAATGGTAGAAAAATTAGGTCAGAAAAGAGGGGGAGAGAAATTCTCCCTCATCTTAGAGAGATAGGTCAAGTTCTTTATATGGTTAGAACCGTCTCTTCA